TGTGTATTGGCACAAAACGTTAGTAAGGTATTTGGTTGTTTATTTATTTATTTATTTATTTATTTGAATTTATTAACTGTCCAACTCCAATGGACATCGACTGATTCCTAGGAGCTTCCCAAAGGTGCAGATTTATGCCTTCAAAGGAGATCCAACGTGATCAGAATCTGTTGAAGGTGCCAAGCCATGTAGGGCTTTAAAGATCAAAAACAGCATTCTGAATTCTGCTTGGAAGCTGATAGGAAGCCAGTCCAGAATCTGGAAAACAGAAGTCATGTGCTCATGTCAGCTCTACCCCTCAACAACCATCCTAAGATATTTTGTTTAGATGCCAATTATTGCATTACTTTGTGGATCACACATTCCCATTTCATTTTTTCATCCTCCTTGCACACATCACAGGTGGTTGAAAGGCCTTGAAGATGATAGACAGGAGACAGATGTCCATTACAACTCCTTGACAGGAGAAGGGAATTTCAACTGGCGCTTTGTGTATCCGTTCCACTATCTCCCGCCTGAAAAACAAATGGTTGTCTGCAAGAGAGAAAATATATTTTCCTTGGAAAAAACAGAACGCAAAATGCCTCCAGTATTGGTTCTCCAAGTGTGGGACTTTGAAAGACTGTCTTCTGATGACTTTCTGGGTAAGGAGGGCTGGGACACTGAGCTGAGCACAAACATTACAGGTCTCCTAGTCTCCAATATCCTCCAGGACCTGGATGGTATCCAGGAGTGGAATTTTCTCATGAAACCCCATATCTTCTTCAAAACTCCACTCCTTCCACCTGCCAGCAATTTTTTCTTTGCTCAGAAACAGGAAGGAACCCATTGCTCCTGTTTCCTTTCTGAGTAAAAGAAAGTGTTCCTGTCTCTGAGCAGATAGCTTCCTGAGTGAAGGAAAACTCTCCTTGCAGAAGAAAGAAGATAGCCATCAACCCTTTCCTCTTTTTGAGTGGAAGAGCAGAATCAAGAGGGGTGGGATGTTCCAGGCTGGAACTGGGGGGAGTAGAGAGGTTTCAACCCAAGGTTCTACCTCCTTGATGTAGCCTTGATCTATTCAGTTCTGGGTCAGAGCAGAGTGACTCAACCTGACATCATGAAAGCTTTGCACACGGTTCCTAAAGACTGCAGAAATGTTTACCAAATTCTTATTACCAAAGTGACAGAAGAAAAAAAATTACTGAACACAGGGCCAGAGAATATCGTGGTAACTATAATCAAATTTAAATCCAAATGAATTTTATTTATTTATTTATATTTCAAATTTGTCACCGCCCATCTCACTGCAGAGCGACTCTGTGCAGTTTACAGTAAGAAGAATAAATATTAATTAAAATAGAATAAATATTAATTAAAATAAAACAAGATTCCTATATAAATAATAAATATCTTCCAAGAAACTGATGTTAACTAGGAGTTATAAGACTCAAGGAACATCTTCAAGGCGCCAGCCCCCTTTAAATCACTTTAGAAAGTTTATACTAAAATTACCTTTTAGTATCAGCCTTACCCATTACTTTTTGGAGTTTGACCTCAGATGTATCACAGTCCTGTTGCAGTCCTTGATTTAGAAAAAGCTGCTCCCCTCCAAGGCTTGGGGATCCCTGTCACTAAACTGAGAGCCAGTTTGGTACAGTGGTTAAGGTGCTGGACTGGAAACCATGAGACTGTGAGTTCTAGTCCTCCTTAGGCATGGAGGATGGCAAGGTGACTTTGGTCCAGTCACTCTCCCTTAGCCCAACCCAACTCCCAGATTATAGGGAACATAGGAGGCAGGAACATTATGCACACCATCTGGAGTTGGGAAAAAAAGCTGGGATATAGATCTAATAATAAATTAAAAGCTAGCTAGGTTGCCTTCTTAATTCTGTGTAGTGTTGCACCTGTCAGAAGATAGCAGCTACAACATGGGGGAAACATGGAAGATGGCAGTGAAATATCAAAATGGGGAACCTCTTATTTAACCTCAGTAACCCATTCCAGTTCAGGCTTACTGGTTTTTTGTTTTTGTTTTGTTTTTTGGAGAGGTGGGCAGGAAAGTTGCTTTTCCAGTTTCTTTTAAAGAAATAAAAGCCATCTGTATTTTTGTGACAAGACAATCCCGTACATGCATACACAGGCAGCATTGGTTGGGTGAGACAGGATGGAATAGCCTTGATGCCAGGTAATGGCTAATTCATGTAAACAGTCAGGAAGTTCAGTTGTTGTTTTTTTTTAATCATCTAGAGAAGTTCTTCAGTGCATGGAATCCAGATTGCTACCCAGTGAATGGATAGCAAAACATGCAGCTTGACTGAAATGTGATGCAAAATGGGATGCCGCCTTATACTGAGGTAGAATGCTTATCCCAGTGTTTCTCAACCTTGGCAACTTTAAGGTATGTGGACCTCAGCTCCCAGAATTCCCCAGCCCACATGTTGGCTGGGAATTCTGGGAGCTGAAGTCCACAGGTCTTAAAGTTGCCAAAGTTGAGAAACACTGGCTTATCTATTTGCCTAGTTGTTGCCCATATGAAGTGGTTGTGGCTTTCCCGGATTTCAGATAGAAATCTGAGTCCCATCTGAACTTGGGATCTTCTCAATGGATGAAGAATGGAGAAGATCATGCTCACTTACTGTATGTTACAGATGACTTCAGTAAACACATCATCCAAGCATTTCCTTCTCTAATCACTGTAACAACAAGGATAGAAATTTTAAATAGGTTATACTTTTCTGAAGTACTTGGAGCTTAGCCAAGAGCTGGAAGCTGATTTTGGAAAGTTACATGGCCCATTAAGTCTTTGATTAATATAGAATTCTGTTCTACGCCCCCCCAGGCTCTCTTGAAATGAACTTGAATGGCTTTCCTCGAGCAGCGAAATCTGCCAAGCGTTGTGACATAAGCATGGTCAGAGAAACCAGTGAGGAGAACAAGATTTCCATATTTCAGCAGAAACGGGTCAGAGGCTGGTGGCCTTTTATCAAAGCTGGAGAGCTCACGGTAAAACTGACCAACAAAAAAAGATTCAAACGTCTTACTGGTGAAAAGCATTTCACACATCATCAATCCAAGTGTTCTTGGCCTTGTTCAGACTTCAGCCTTTTCTTAATGTACTTCTTTCTGCATCATCCCAGGTTCAGTATTACAACAGTTGCATTTGCTGTGGCTTCAGTTCCACGTGGACTGGATATAGCAATGTCCTGTATAATTGTATTGTATAAGTTACAATGACATGGACAGCAGAGAAGAGGCCACCTTCTCTGGAGCACTAGAGGTGTACTGGTAGCAGTTTCTCCAACTACCACCACCATCACCACTACGTACACATATCCCAGTGTCTGCTCCAGTCTCCTTTTGCTTGTTGGGAAACTACAAGGGAGTTGTACATCTTGGTATGGTAGCTAGAGATAATCCCTCCCCAAGAGTCATAAAGAAACATTTCCCAGAGCTTATTCTAGATGCCAATGCTCATATGGTGGGGTGCTGTCAGACCTTCAAGGTAGGCAAGGTCAAAAAATAAACAGGGCAGGTAGAGCCTTTATTGTACTAAGGTAGAACAGCCAAATCTTGAAAGCCTGTCCAAATGTTTCTCTGTCTCATCTTATACGAAACAAAATCATGACAGGATTATTTTGAGTGTCTTGATCACACTGCCCTCTTTCCCAGGACTTACATTATCTTTTTTGCAAGTCCCCCACTTAATGTTTCACTCATACCTTCCCTACCCTCAAGGTCAACTCAATTTCTTTACAGGTAAACAGTTATTGAGTGCTGAGCCAGGCTAGGAAAAAAGGACATTTGACCTTAGCCGCATGAAAAGGTTTTGTAAACTTTAAAAAATGCAATCGCCTAGAGTCATTGCACCGATTTTGACTTAGCATGCTAAAACCGCCTTGGCTAAAAGGACAACCCAAGGTTGGATTTAGATTACAATTCACTCTGTTTTAAAATCTCATTCACCGTATTCTCACAACATCCTAAACTTGGACAGTTTGGGGTTAGTTTGTGGTGAACTCAGCCCATTGGGTAACAATTCAGTGTATTGTGCAAACTTTGAAAAGAATTAATTCAGAAAGGAGGTTAACCTGCATTAACTCAGCCACTGACATTTTATATAACCCTGGTTTCTGTGATTTGGTTGAGATCATTAGTGCATCTACTCAGCCCTGACTACATTTCAATTACAAGAATAGGATTATAGCAGATGAGACAGCCATAATTCATCTGGAAGCATCGTGCTACTGAGGCACAGTAAGAGCTTGAAAGAAAATGTCATTATTTGAGGCATCTTTCTTATGTGAGTATAATTCCCCACCAGTCTCACTGCAAGCAGATATAATAGGATATTACTGTCAGGAATGTGTAATTCTGTGCATTGGCCAACCTGTCAAGGTTTGGAAGAGTCTGAATATTAAAAAGAGAACATTATCTCTTTACATTGAACACCTGGGTTGGTAGAACAGCAGAAACCCGGAATTAGCCAGGTGATAAAACCTCAGTTTGCTAGAAAGTGGGAATTCTAGTACTTTGCCTAAAGAGATAAAATTTCAGATAGCAGATCAGCACCTTTTTCCAAGAATTGATAGTCCTATTCAATTTCCTTTTTAGCTTCTGAAATCTCATCATCTGAGATATAAACCCAAAGCCACAGCTATTCACCACATCCTTTTAATACCACTGCAGCCAGATAATGTATTTCAAGGAGTTTGAGCACTGAATGCACTGCATAGAAGATACATCTGAAATTTGCATTGTTGGTGCAACAAATATAAGAATTTGGGAGGCTAAGAAGCTATCTTCAGGCATGCAGTAAATCATGGAGGGCTCAAACTGGATAGGGAAGGGGGTTGAAAACACATCCATTCCTACAGGCCTCAACATGTTGCTGGCAGGTCTGAAGCAGAGCCATGCTGGTGTTCTGGTGAACATTAGGAATCTGTCTGTGGGATCTGGGAGCCTACTAAACAAAAAATTCCTAATGTTCACTAGAACATCGGTATGGCTCTCCTTCAGACCTGCTGGCAACACATGGAGGTTGGGGACGGTAGATATGTGTGTATCTGCAAAATAAAGACAGCCTTGGAACAAGCTTGACTTCTGTAGAGAGCCAAGGCCTTCAAGCAAATATTCAAACATTATGTAAAGAAAAAGGTCTTGAGAACAGAGATAGTTGGCTGGTGTGGGTCTTCCGGGCTGTGTGGCCGTGTTTTGGAAGTTTTGTTTCCTAACGTTTTGCCAGCATCCGTGACCGGCATCTCTGCCCTCTGAAGATGCCATGCCGGTCACGGATGC